AAGATCACCGTTCCCATCAAAAAGGTGTGGGAGCTCGAAGAAATTCAGGATGCCCATCGCCAGTGGGCAAGCAGTACGGGGGTTGGATCATCGCTCATTCGGTTGTCGGATGCGAAGGCTTGAGTGAGCGAATGAGTGAGCGGATGAGTGAATGAGCGTGGTTGAGTGAGTGAGTGAGTTGATGGGTGGAAAACTGTCAGATTTTGAGCAGCAGGCGTCACGGCGTTTTCATAATTGTTCATGCATCCCAATAGGCTTGGACTTATAATAGTAGAATGAATCTCCAAATGAGTTTTTCAAATGACCTGACCAATCTCGCCTTTATCATGGGGTGTTTTTTTACCTTCCTCATTCCGCCTGGCGGCGTCCAACATTTGGTGTTCTGGTGAACAAAAGGGCGTAAGACGGGATCATTGCGCGCCGCGCTTACGGGTTTACAGGCAGGCCATGCTGACGCAGCAAAAGGCTGTTCGGTTGCTCAACTCATTCTTCAGGCCCATGAAAAGCAAGCTTCCCCTCATCTCACGCTGTTCATCTTCAACTCAATCGTGTCGACCGGCGCCTTCCCTAACATTAGCTGCAGTTCGGCGATAAACTAAAGCGCGCCAGGTGATTGGCAGCAGCGACGAACACGGTGGAAGCCGCGACGTCTCTTCGCCAAAGGCATCTTTCCGACATTCGTTAACTTCTCTGCATCGGGATAAGTACTCGTCAACTTCATCACGACACAATCGCTTCATCACAGTCTTTCATAGCCCGAACGCAATGAAGGTCTCAATTGGCCTGGCCGCCGTCACGGGCCTCGCCGGCTTCACTGCCGCCAAAAAGCCCGACCCTCCCAAGATCACCGACTTTGACTGGGATACCATCACGCCCGCCCGCAAGCTGGAATACCACCCATGCTACAAAGAATACCAATGCGCCCGCCTCAGCGTCCCTCTCGACTGGCTCGACGAGGCGAACGAGCACACGGTCGCTCTGGCAATCATCAAGCTCCCTGCCACCGTCCCCGACGACGACCCATCTTTTGGCGGCACCGTCTTCACCAACCCAGGCGGGCCCGGTGGCTCCGGCGTGAGCATGCTGCTCCGCAATGGCCACGATATGCGCCGCACGCTAAGCGGCGGCAGCAAAAAGTACGAGATGCTGAGCTGGGATCCGCGCGGCGTGCAATTCACGACGCCTGTGGCTGATTGCTACGAGGACGAACTCGCAAGGGACACGGACAACATCCAACGTTTGGCCATCGGGCCGCTTGATGCCAGCCCGGATGCATTGAGGAGGCAGTGGGCGAGGATTCAGGGGTACGGCAGGCTCTGTACCGAGAAGCCGGGCAACGGCTCCATCATCCCATTTGCTACGACGGCATCTGTCTGCCGCGACATGGTCGAGATGGTGGACAAGATTGACGAGTTTCGCAAGGGAGAAGCTGCAGCTTCGCAACCCGAGCAGTCGCTAGAGCTCCGGAAAGTTAAGGACGTGCCGCGGATTCAGTACTGGGGCTTCTCATACGGCAGCATCCTCGGCAATACGTTTGCCTCAATGTATCCTGGGCGCGTAGGCCGGCTCATTGTTGATGGCATCGCGGATTCAAATGACTACGTGGCAGGGGTAAGAGTGTACCTATATTCCCATTCACCTCTTCGCATGCGGCTAACACACGTGTGACTAGGGCTGGAAGACCAACCTTCAAGACACGGAGAAGCTTGTTGACTATTTTTACGAGACATGCTTTGAGGCTAAGGAGAAATGCGCGCTGAGCCGGCCTTCGGACAAGCAGTGGCAAGACATTCGTGATCGAGTCGATCAGCTCGTGAAACGTCTCGACGAAGCCCCCGTCGCGGTACTCAACGGCAAGGTGACAAACATCTTGACAGGCTACGATGTCATCCTCTCCTTCAAGAACCCGCTCTACGCGCCCTACACTCGCTTCATCAAACTCGCCAACGAAATCAATGCTGCCATCGAGGGAAACTACACCGCCATCCTGGAGTCCGCCTCCGCTGAGATTCCCAAGATTGACCAAGCCTGTACCCATCCCAACGCCACAGATCTGAGGCTCTCTTGGGGAGACGGCGGCCAGGCGGTCCTTTGCGGCGACGGCGAAGATAACACGAATATGACCCTCGCCGACTACAGGGCTTACGTCGCCGTGCTCGAATCCCAGTCGCCGACCTTCGCCGGCTACTGGGGACAGATTCGCTCCGCCTGCACGAGCTGGCTCGTCCGCCCCAAGTGGCGCTTCACAGGCCCGTTTACGACACCGCCGCACGATGCTGCGGTTGTAGAAGGCCGGCCCGCAGCGCCGCTGCTCTTCATGTCTTCGCGACTCGATCCCGTGACGCCATTGAGAAACGCTTTCAAAGCGAGTGAGGGACACCCCGGGTCAGTTGTTGTGATTCAAGAGTCGGTGGGCCACGCTGCCTTTGCCACGGGGAGCAAGTGTACGACCAAGATCCTTCGGGAGTATCTTGAGCATGGGACAGTGCCGGAGAGCGGGACCGTTTGCCAGCCTGATTGTGGCCCTTGGGATGGCGACGCCTGTAAGTCGGATAGCTTAAGCGTCAACGTGGCGCCTCTTGCGCCGCCGCATGATAGATCCCACCGTGTCTATTGAGGCAAGATGGGATAAAACAAGAGATTCGGGAAATGTCTATGGCGAGGATAGAGGTATTCGTAGATGCGCCTCCACAGGGTGACCATGGGAATACGAGAACAGCAAATAGCTACCTGTTAGAATCGTAGATTCAAGACACTGGGAAAGTCAGACATTGCTCAACGATCTCAATGAAACGTAAGACGTTGAAGCTTACTTGTAACGTTTGAACCCTTGCATGAAAGATGCTTCCGAGAAGCACCTGATCACAACTGGGTGCTTGTTCTGGAGATACCACTGCTGACCGCTGTATGCAGATGTCAGACGCACGTTTAGCTGAGCGGAGCTGAAGCCGATCTCACATCCGGCATCCGAGTTTGACTGTGTTGCCACGAAGTTTCAAGAGATGCCGCAGGAAGTCCTACTCTAATCCGACTGAGTGATGGGAGAAACACTTTCGTCCCATCGTTGAATACCATACTTGACTCCCTATCACAAAATGTTATGTCTTATCCTTCTCAAATCCACACCGACTTCTAGGTTACACTTGATAGAAGGCCCAACTGAGACATGGTCCCAGATGGACGTCAGTAACATGCTCGATACGATGCGCAGGGCAACCCCTCTCCTTCCGCCCTGATACGAGGTTTTTTGTTAGTCCGCCCTTGGGATCCGGGATCTAAGGTTCCCCAGACCGGGCTTGGGACCGAGGGCGATCAACCTGCATGCATCCAACGAAGAGGCGATTAGGTACCGGTGCCTCCCCTCCCTCATGTTGCCAAACAGTCCCCAACAAAAGCCGGTAAAAGAGGGCATTACACAAAACGTGTTCCACTTCCCCTCCATGCCGGTGCCATTTCAGCTTCTACCTAAAGCACCTAGGGATTCGCACGCACGCACGCTAGTGACTGAACCCAAGTCAGCCCGAGGATCAATCTGTTCTAGTGTCTTGCGGGGAGATCGTGGCATTGGTCCGACTGACGCCACTCTCGGGACGTTTTCCCTGGTTTTTCTGCCACAACCTTCTTTTTTTACGAGATCGATCGGCAGTGGTGAGGATTTAGCCTGGGAGGAAGATGGTATTGTCAATGTTCTGCCAGTAGGACATCGTCATGATGGCTGACAAGGTACGAAAATATTTTCGAGGCGTAGACCATGTGAGTTCGTATCCGTCGTACGGGTGTCATTCCCGAAGACGGGCCATTGACGGTTGTGGGAGGACGAGTGTTGATCGTACAGCAGCGTAGGCGCTGTACTAATCTACGTGAGGAAGAACCGAGGCGTCTTGCTTCCTCGCAAAGTCAGGAGGATGTGGTTGAGGTCGCATCGTGTTTCTGAGTGAGTATAAAGATGCTCGTGAAGTCTCGATGACTAGGTTCGATAAAGTTGGTCAGACTTTCGTCCTACCTTAACCATCAATCTACCGGCCCGCCAGCACCAACATAATTTCAACCTTCAGCCCTACCTTGGAAGTTTTCTAATTCAAGAATTCTCAATATGAAGTTCTCAGTGCTTCTTACCTCAATCTCATTCATCCTTCCATCCCTCTCTCACCCGCTCGAGGATCGCGATGCCCCTCAGACAGTTCACCTTACCTTCCACGGTGGCCCCGCGTCTTACGAGATGACAATTCCCGCCGATGGGCAGGTGTATCCTACAAGTCAGTCCCAATCCCACACAATTGTTCGCATCGTTGAGAGTGTAAGAAGGAACACTAAACCGTCCACACATAGACAACGACATCTCCGTCAACATCATCGACGCGCCGGACTACAACGCCCTCTCCCAGTGCACCTTCTATACAAACGGCGAGAAGGCTCTGGTCGGCGGCATCACGCCCCAGGGTCTCCAGCAGGTCATCATCGGACCACCGCAGCCCGTCACGGGAGTCAGCTGTCTCGGTATCTGTGTCCCGACGTACGGGATGTGCTACGATCTCAACGGGCAGTACGTTGGGCCATGTTGCAACGGCTTTTGTGCGGCGACGAGGTGTAGACCTTGGATCCAGCCTTCTTGAAGACAACATGAAGGCAATATCGGTGGTTTTGCTACTCGCAGCTTACTTCGCAAGTAGGATGTCGGCGCTACGCTGGGCGAGACGTGCACTCAAGCTGCCGTATGCGGCTTCAGGATCGGCTAAAGTACAAGCTTGATCTCTTGAATCAGAGTCATACTAAATAATTTGAATGCCTCAGTCATCATTTTCAAGCAGTTCTATCCATGAATTTATGTGTTCTGACAGACTACATGTGCAGTCTGAAGATGAGTTCGACATCAAATGTGATTCTACAGCAAGAATCGCCAACAGTTTTGATTCCCTTTCCTTGAAATACCACGCGGGTAGGTAGAGCGCAGTATCAGCCATCTAACACTTAGATAAATACCACGTCATGAACCCGCGTGATTACTTCATTCCCATGTTCTGTGCTTGCGACTGGTACCCAGTATTGATCGGCCCATAATCGGTTCGCCCCTCGACCTCGTTCTCATGCTGAATGAGCACGCAGCAGGGACACCAAAACGACACGCAGCAGTCGCCGCATGTACTTCCCTCGATGTGGAATTTCTTTCGGATATCGCCGCGCTTATTCATGAGAAACCTAGTCAGAAAGGCATAGTCAGCGAGCTGCCAAAGAGTGCCGTAGGTGCTTTGAGGGGAAAGATGGCAGGAGGTGCCGGCTCAGCATCTTATTAACTTACAGCCAACCGAGACCAATGGAGCCAAGGGCTGAGATCATGAAGCAGTCTCCGTTGATGGGTGAGTAGTCTGAGAGGCTGGGGTCGCGCAAGCGTTCGGAGGTCTTGCCAAAGACTGATGCAGGAGACGGGGGGTATGTAAGTCAGCACTTGGATGGATTATCGGTAACAAGGTACTAAGGTAAGATGGTTTGGGGAAAGGTTAAGTTGACGTACCCATGCATGGAAGAAATGAGGCCATCATGCAGGTGCCGCATGGGCTGCAGTCCATGAGATCGCTTTGCCATTCTTGACTCGGCATCGTGAGAGCAGGGCGAAGATAAACCAGCAGATTATGAATGTAGATAAGCCCTTCCGAGGTCAGCTTGATCGAATACACAGCTGCCGATATACTCGATTTGGTCTCCGAGCGTTCGACTCTGGGAAGCAGAATCAAGCGAAAGCAAAAGTAAAAGAATGCATGAAGAAGCCGTAAGCATTGACAAAAGAGAGCCTCTCTGTTATATGTCTGATTTATGATAGAGAAAACACCATTAACTGCCGTAAACGAGTGATGAGAATATTACAGGTTGAGAAGTCTGGCTGAGCTCATTGACCATCCTACGAACAGGTTCCTGCTTCCTGGCTTTATATAATAGCCGAACAGGTTCGAACCACAAACTGCCTAGGCTATCGACCTCAACATTGCTCAATGCATAATATCTCCAAATCCACATCACGTAAGGTACGATAGCTGGCAAGCCATCACCGGGTCCACACGAATAGGAAGATATCGACGACACCAAGGGTGTCCTTGCAAAGGCGTGCCCTGAAAAATATTATCAGCTTGCTAGGTCCGTACAATAAACGAGTTGGAAAGTCGAGACTTGCCCAAACTGCCGGAAAGGGTCACCTCAACTAGAAGAACGGCATATGACAGCCGAATGTTGTCCGCTCGGTTCTGTTCTCACCAGAAATGTTGTCGTCAAGCCTAGGCCCCGCGTAGTTAGTGCAACGTTAGTATCATATGTGGGCACTTCCTCGCGAGTCACAGGATCCATTAGCGGCCGACGAAAAGATCGTCTGCAGGGGTCGTATAAAATACGACCCCAGTCACTTACTTTAGTCACGTACTTGTGCCGGTGGACCCCAGCTCAACGTCTCGAGGTCACTTTGGCATCATCTCGACGCAGACTTCTCCATTGCGTCTTCGAGAAAAGTTTTGACATGCAGAGACCCAGGAATAAACAATGGAGAGTTCCACCTCTAGCTGCGGCGACCCCGGAGTGATGGCTCTGAAGATTGTTGCCAGGCCTCGAGGATACTTGTTGGCGTCATGACAGGATGAAGGAGAAGAATAGTGGTCCCAGTCGTGGTTGAGCCATTCAATATACGCATGCCAGTCCTGATTCATCACTTATCATGCCGACGGTGAGGATTGACATCCTTTCATTTGATCCCCTACTATTGCGGCCGATGGGTCTACAATGCTGCAGAAACTGGATGCTTAATTTCCGCAATTGCAAAGCCTCATCCTGGAGACACATGCCGAGAGCTCTCGTCATTGTTGCCGGTACACTACTCTATATAAGAAAGGTGGTTTGCTGTTCACCCCTATTTCCTCGCACAAATCTACTGCTTTGGAAACCTCCTTACGAAGCTCAAGTCATCATACCTCATTCAGCCGACATGGCCCTCGCCGTCAATGGAAGCCGCTGCACAAGCGCGACATTCGGGACCCCTATACTGCTAGAGGCCAGTATTCTCGCGGTGCAAGCTAACCTGGTGGAAGACTACAGCTTCGACGTCCCAAAGGGATGGACCTACTCTCAGCCGGCCCTCAACGTCGAGAACGCCACCTTTTGCAACGTCACCGTTACCTACACGCACCCAGGACAGAACGACACCCTCACGGCCGAGGCCTGGCTACCACCCATAGACCGCTACAACGGGATTTTGCAGTCAGTCGGCGGAGGTGGCTGGAACCCCGGCCGCTTCATCCTCAGCTACGCAGCCATGATCAACGCCGTTGCCAACGGCTACGCGACTGTCACCACCGACGCCGGAATCCCTACTACCTCGAACCCCATCGACTGGCTGCTTAAAAGCCCGGGGAGCTTAGACACCAACGCTCTGCAAAACTTTGGTCAGGTCTCCCTGAATGATGAGGTACGCTGCCTTTCTTGGTCGACAACATGATACATGTACCAAGCCACAATGCTAACCAAAACTTCTCGCAACAGGCTATTATAACGAAACAGCTTATTGAAAGCTTCTACGGCAAGCCTCCTGCGCGATCCTATTGGAACGCCTGCTCCCAGGGCGGCCGTCAGGGCCTCAAACTGGCGCAGCAATACCCAGACGCCTATGACGGCATCATGTCAGCCGCCCCCGCCGTCAACTGGGCCGAGTTCTACCTCAATTCTATCTGGCCTAGCTACTACATGCTCAACACCCAGCAGTTCCCGCTGGGGTGCGAACTCAACGCGATCACCGCCCTTGCCATCTCTGCCTGCGACGAGCTAGACGGTGTCAAGGACGGCCTTGTCAGTGATCCCGAGGCCTGCAGGGCAAACTTCAACGTTTCCGCGCAGGTTGGCAAGTCTTTCACGTGCGCGCAGATTAACTCGACGCTCGAAATCAGTGAAGCGGCCGCCAACGTGGCCAATGCCTCCTGGACCGGTCCCCGTTCTTCCACTGGGAGGTTCATCTACGATGGGTACGAGATGGGCAGCGATCTATCCGTCATCGCACCGACAGAATGCACCGGCAAGGTCTGCACGAGCAGCACTGCTGAGGCAAACGTTGCCTTTGCCTGGCAGGCTTTCGTCTCCAAAGACCCCAATGCTAAGGTGCCTACTCTTACAGACACAACGTTTGACACGATCCACCGCGCCACCAAATTGGTCTTTGCCTCCAATATGGAGACCGACGAGGCGGACCTGAGCGACTTCAAAAACGCAGGGGGCAAGATCATTACCTACCACGGACTCGTAAATGCCCCTTCCGTTGCTTGATCCCTAACTACCGTACATTGTACTAAGCTAATATTTTCAAGGCCGATCAAAGCATCTCTCCTGGCGGCACTCTCCGATACTACAACACCGTCTCTGCGTCGTCGGCGGCAACATTAGCTCGTTTTACAAATACTATCGCGTCCCCGGGCTCGAACACTGCTGGGGTGGCAGAGGAGGACAGCCCGAGGCCATCTTCGCGCAGCTTCGGGCCTGGGTCGAGAACGGGACGGAGCCGGAGTCTTCACCAGTGATCGTGACGCTGCCGGATGGATCGACGCAAGAGCAGGTGCTGTGCCCGTATCCGCAGAAGGCGAGGTTTGATGACGCGTGTGCGAGCAAGAACGCAACTTCTTGCTGGTCTTGTTCTGAATAACCTTGATACTTGGCACCTTGGCTATCAGGTAGGGTTTGGGAGAACGGGGGTCAGTTTGTTAGCTCTAGTCAGATTTCAGGCTTTAGGCGATCTGTTCATACAACTAGGCCGTTTCGTTATCACTCACAAACGTTGCTTCGAACGATTCTTTTTCTTTTATGCATCTCACGGCATAGGCTTCGTGACGTAGGTAATGTGGGGGGTTGCTATATTCTACATGTAATAGTTTAGATTTCTTCAGGCGTCTCCCGCAAATAAGGGCCGCGGATGAAAGGCTTCTTGATTCGTGAGTCTGCCTTGACGACACTTTATCAGCTGTATATGTCACACCAGTGACCTGCTATCACACGGTGGTCTTGATTGTGAGTGTTAGGCATAGAATGGTCGTCACTGTTGTATATGGAGATCGTCGGGGCCGATGAGATAGCCTTAGATACTGAGAATTGAGTCACCCTGTGGACGCGTTTGCTTCCTATCTTCCTTGAGGTCGAGATCCCCTGAAGTCGGTTGAACTAAGCCAAAGGGGCTGGACGGAGCCAAAATGATTCAGTCACTGCTCATTGGTGATTGGCTACTGCTCCCCACCTCGTCGGCCTGCGTCCTTGTTTGATTTTTATCTTTTTCGTTTCGTCTCGTATCTCGTTCTTCACTTTGACCATCCCCAATGCGCTCAATTCGAAGTTATAATTGATGACTTCGTCCAATACATTGAAACCGTCTTCTGGACGCTGAGTGATTCGATTCTGCCTAGCTATTTACCACCTAATTAGCCTACAAATGCTGGGTGCTGGTCCTCCGCATGCGGCGCACGCTGATCCGGGCTGCACCTGCACAACATGCCACATCGTGAAGCGGCGGCCGCATAAAAAGTCGAGGGGAGGCTGCGAAACGTGCAAAAAGCGCAGGATCAAGGCAAGTCTCCCATAATACGTTGCATGGCTACGAAACTTACCGACTAGCACAGTGTGACGAAGTCAAGCCCAAGTGCGGGCAGTGCTCGAAAGCCCTACACAACTGCAGCTTCGAGTCCTCAACACTAAGCTCAGACCTGGACACCCTAGCCAATGCCTCTCATGATGCCCTCAATCGTGGCCAATCTTCCAAGTACTCGAAGGCAAACGAATCTCGGCATGATATGCCTCAAAGCGACTACTCTACTAGACACAACCAGCAGCTCGGTGTCCCAGTGGCTTCCTCGTCTTCCAGCACCCTGAGCCACACCTCCTCGCCAGGCAGCAGCACATCGGCCGGTCCAGACTCTCTACTTCTGGGAACATCCCTAAAAGGACTCATCCCATGGATATGGACCGTTGATGATCTTGCCCTACTGCACCACTTCCTCACCTGCCCAGCTCTGGACCACGGCGACGCAATCCTCTGGCGTCAAAAGGTGCCGATCCTTGCCTTCGAAAACCATTCCGTCCTCCACCTCCTCCTCGCCGTGTCCGCGTTTCATCTAGCTACCATAAAACCAGACGAGCGAACGAGGTATCGAGGGCTGGCAGACAAACACTACGAGGCCGGCCTGCGTCAGACCATGGAACTCATGCCCCGCCTCAGCCTCGACTCCGCTGGCGTCCTCTACATCGCCACCACCCTCATCTGCTCCTGTAGCTTTGCCCGCGGTCCCGCGCCGGGAAATCTGCTCATAGTCTCGGATGGCGTTGAGGTGGCCTGGTTCGAGCTGCTCAGGGGCGTCAGGCTCGTCATCGAGACGGCCGGCTTCGAGGCCATCTTCTCAGGCGTCCTCGCTCCTCCGCCTTCAGAAGAAAAGCCGTCACCAAGGAAGGACCCGTCAGGTCAGGCTTCAGTGTCGCGTTCAAGCCCGACAGCGTCAAGACCCGTTACATGGGAACATGCTCTCGGGCGCATCGCACAGCTCATTGCTGACACTGCGGATCCCGACGAAGCAACTTACAGAAAGATGATTCAATACGTATCCTCCGCCTTCCAAGAAACCTTTGGAACATTCGCTGAGCCCACCACCGCGTCCGAGGGCAAGATGGAGGTGATTATGGCTTGCATCTACCGCACCGACGACGACTTCGTGCGATGTCTCAAAATGAAAAAGACCATCGCCCTGGTTGTGCTGGGCCACTTTGCTGTACTGGTCAAGAAGCTCGAGTGGCTGTGGTACATGCGCGGCTGGGCTGATCAAATTCTACAAGGCGTGGCGTCGAATCTAGATGCTGCGTACTTGGATTTCCTGCAGTGGCCGAGGAAAGAGATTGAAAGACTTGAATTCGCTACAGGGAATGATAATACTTGATCATTGACTCTTTTGCTCATTCACGCCAGACTCTACCACCAGATCGATCGGTCGCGAGAGGAAACCACTACAAGGTGGGGTGGTTAGGCCTTCACTATAGGTACCCTATAGGGAGTACACAAGACAATGCCATAAATTTTGACTGAGTAGCCGTCAGAAAGTCCTCCAAAACTGATGAGCTGCACATTACGACCATCCAATTCTCTATGGTGTGGTGACAGGTACGACAGTTGCCATGTTAGCCATCGTTCCCGAGAGTCGCCGAAGGGTTTGGGGAAGTACGAAGGACCTGGGTCGCGCTCAGAGCCTTGCTTGATAAGTACTGTGACCGATTAAAGCAAATCTGCCTATCTATTCTGGCAAGTTGTATTTCAAATATATAAACATTGAGCCGCCTGGACTCTAGATGAGGCAGGTAAGAACCTGAGCCATCATCAGTGCCAAGATGGCCGACCCGGCAATGTGGGGCCGGGCGCCGACCCCGACATTCATTTTCCGGTGCGCTCAGATCCGGATCCAGAAGTCATCATCTTTGATCACTTACGCCTTCTCATCAGCTTACTTAGGAGATACGGCCCGTATCATCCGCTGTTGGTTGTGATTGAACCGGGTGAAGCTGCCCATGCTGACAGGATCATCACCCCGCAGATAGACAACGCGTCCTATGTATTTCTAATCGAGAACGCCGTAAGCCGGGTCATCAAACGGCCGCAGTCCTTTGATCACGTATCTTAATTGAAGTCATCAGATGCGAGTTTCAATCTTTCAGTCATGCTTTATATAGCGAGCCGGCGTCTGTATCACCGTGTCTCATCTACTTCCACGGAATCCACCGACTTCAGTACCATTTCCAGCTAGACCAAGTCTGATCCTCTATCATCCTCCATACAATTGAGAGCAAGTAGCAGCTACGATAATGGCACCAGAATTTGCTCCAACCCGCGCAGTCCTGCACATCGAGGATTGCGATATTCACTATTGGTCCCTAGGCAAAGGTCCGCTCATCGTCTTCATCCCGGGAGGCAATGGCCACGGACGGCAATATGACACGATCATAGCCTCTCTATCGGATAGATATACATGCGCCACCCTTGACCGTCGTCAAATGTCAGCAAGTCAAGCCAAAGTCAACAAGAGGCTCAATCCTCCACAGCAAGCCCGCGATATTCGCGCCATCATCGAGGCCCTCGGCTTCGACAAAGCCACTCTTTTCGGGAGTAGTATGGGCGGTATCCTTGCATTTCAGTTCGCCCTCGACTTTCCAGACATGGTCGAACACGTCATCTCTCACGAAGCTCCGACCTTCATGCTTCTCCCCAATGCCACCGAAGTCTTTGAGTTCTTGTATAATTGTCTCGACACATATGAGGCTTCAGGCGTCGATGCTGCGCAGGAAAAGTTCAGCTCTAAGCTGATCGGCTATTTCGATGAAGGTGTTCCTCGCACGGGGCCATCGGATCCAATGAATCCCCCGAATCACTGGGCCAACGAGTTTGCCGTCTTGCTGGGCTATCTGCCGAGTTTGTATCGCATCAGGGAGAACGGAACGAGCATCGGGCTGATGAGGGGCATTCGGAGCAGAGAGGCGTGGTATGCTCAGGCGGTCGACGAGCAGGCCAAGATTCTGGGGTGTCCGAAGCTTGACGTCGCGGGTGCTCACGAGGGCTTCAGAGTCGAATGCGAGGCGTTTCTCCCGTACTTTGTCGAGTTGATGGACATTCTAGACAAGGCCAAGGGCAAGAGCTCTTGATGATAAGATTAGTGGATAGTCAAAAGACACCAGAGTGACCCTGCATCATGACCTGGTATCTTTCTACCCATGTGGACCCATGCTTCGTTGTGTTCGACACGGGCGGAGGGAGTGTTGCTTTGGGCAAGGATTCCGGTTAGTTAAATTTGAGTTTCCGCAGGCCCCTTTTCTCCCTCCAGTAATTCGTGCCTTCGAGCATTTCGGTGCAGCCGTCAAGCAACCAGCCCCATTTCCGGAGAAACGGTTCCGTGGCCTCCCAGCCCCGCGGATCCCACGGCTCTCCCCAAACAATCAGCGCCGCGTCTTCGACTCCCGCCCCCGCGCCCACATCGACCACGTCCCGGCACATTTCGTCTTCGTCAATGTAGTCCTCGCCGTGCTCGGCCACGATTCGTAGAAAGTTGTCTCGCATTCGGGGGTGCGGGAAGAAGTCGATCCAGGGGTGATGTTCGACGGACAACTGCAGCGCCGTGGGCAGCATGTTGGACGGACACGATGCCGATATCGTGGCGCGACCCAGGTCAGGACCGGCTTTGTTGAAGGGCGAGATAGCGTCGTAGGTCAGCCACTCCTTGTTGAAGCTGAGGGCTTTGGCGTTGCGAACAAAGGCGTGGAAGACATTGACGCGGACGAGGGTCGTGAGGTAGTCTGTACAGGGCCGGCCGCGCATATAGTCCTCGTAGGCACCCTCGGCGAACTTTTCTAGCATGGCTGGCATGCCTGTCTTGCCCAGGAGGCAGACATCTGGAACGGCGGCCTTTCCAATCTTCCCTGCGATGATGGCCGCCAGGGCTGTCTGGGTATTTTCGTTAGTTGGCGAGGCGGACTCTTTCTTCACCAAGGCTGTCGATGGGTCGGATTCCACCTCGGTTGACGGACTTCTATCTGATGGAGAATGTTTGCCGAGTTTCTTCTGTGCTCTCCGCCCTTGTAATACGCGTGTAACCGTTAGCTGAATGATACCACTAGCCTTGCCCGTGCGGGTAGTAGATGTCAGCAGATCGGTACCGAGGTGGACTCACTTCGCGCTCTCTGGTTCAGCCGGTTCTGTAATTTACGCCTCTCCGCCGTACTCGTAACTCCGGTCCAGTCCTCTGAAGGATCCCGTAGTTCAGCCAAACGAGGATTCGCAATCACTGGGATGACTGTCCCGGCAGGAATCGCCGGGCCGGGACTGAAACACATCTCCATTGTTGCCGTCGCTTCTATATGTGGAAAGATATCCTCGAAAGACATTGGTAAAAAAGGCGATTGGGCAAATGAGAGAGCCGAAGAAACAAGGCCGGGAGCGTCAGCAGTCAGCAGCTCCGAGATCTGGTCAATCTTTGACAAACGAATGACAACAATGCTCGAAGGAGATGAGACTGGTCCTCCAGAAGACTATATGCAGCCTGCTGACAGCCTTCCACCGTCTAAGTGCCAGGGATGGTGCCACAAGGCCGGAACCTAAATGGTCGAATCGGCGTCGATGCCTTTTTTCGATGGTGGGGACTCCTACTGACTCAGGCCTAGTTTGTGCGGATAGGCTCAGCAAAGTCGAGGTTGCCCACGACTTATCTCTTGTATTTTCGAACACTTGAGGGCCTTTTGCGGAAGCTTGAGGGAAAGCAAACTTCAGGATTAGTGTTGTCCTTATGTTTCTCCTTTTTGTGAATTACTATCTTCGAGATGGATTGCTAATCCAAGCACTATCTGGCCGTTGTCATCGGCGAGGCGAAGCACTCTCCCAGACGGGAGTGTATTCGGACGGATTTAAAGCCCCTGTTTGATCTCTAACCAGATTTTAGCGTGTCAGCAGTCTGCATTAGCGTCCGCAGACTGACGTTTGTCTCTTCATACTGACGAATCAAGACGCGGAGAGCGTCTGGGCTATCCCTGTTTAGAGTAACTCGCTCTCGCTCTCCTTTGGAGCTACAGCCTGAGGCTGGTCCATCACGTCGGTGCACTAACAACATTCAACTGTTAGACTTTCCCAATCGCGAATTAATGCCTTGGCTGATCATCCCATATCTCTAGTCGGCACGTCCTCCACCCCGTAGGAGTCCATATGTAGAACTCTCTATCTCACAACTCTCTACTGTCCCTAAGCGGATGCTCGCTTCCACTTCGGGGTCTACCACGATCACCACGAGTCAGGGGCGTAGTCGTATTGTTCATCTACCGTACGGACAGATAGAAGTTGATAGCCCTCGTTCTTCTATCTGGCTTTTCCGATCGAGAATCGATGCGGTAGCAAAATATCACCGAGCCGAACCAAGCCGACATCGAGACGAACTCTGTCAAAGTGCCCGAGCCTGCGAATCGATCATCGTACATGCCACGACTCCAACGACTCCAACGACTCACCGACTCAACTGATCACGATCATCCTAAAGCCGATACTCCCCGATGCCCTTGAACGCTCCCGCGCCCGTGGCTTGACCGCGGTACTTGCCAGCAAAATGAGTCAGCAAGAGGGTGGAGTCGATACTTTTAATAGCCAAAGGCACATTTTCCTCCCGCTCCTGAAAGCTACAGGAGGCTCTTGGCCAAGATGCTTGTCGAATACTGCGGTCTGTTGCCAACGCGTGTACGGTTCTCTGATATTCCAATGCTACTCGTATCAACCATCGCTTGAAGTTGATGAGCTGCATTCACGACAGATCTCTTTGACTCCGAGACACAAACACCGAAAGACTTCGTTGCGTTGGATAGTGTGGATAAGTGTATTCAGGTCCGAGTCTATGGGACAAAGCCGGATGAAAGAAACGGTGCCGGCGATGGAAGAAGAGAAGTTATATACAGGGAAAAGAAGAGATATCCTCCACTCAGTATACTCTTGGAGACACTCCCGAAGCGATCAGGGTCGTGTGCAACTTCGAGTCTTCCTTCAGTCCTTTTAGACAGCGTAGGTGCTGCCAATGGGACCGAAGCGGATGTTGGACCAGACAACCTGCGAATTGGGGAACTGCTCGATAACTTCGGCCGGGACACCAGAAGTCGGGGCGCAAGGTCCACGCTCGGTGCCGGGCTCTCCAGCCCTCTCGGGCGGGTAGGTGGAGTCGAGCCAGAGCATGTTGGCGTAGTGCTACAGCGGAACATCAGCTTGGCATAATCAAAGGCTGACAGAGATATTGGTGGAAATACTTACGTCGCTCCAGATGGACATCACAAGAGTCATGGGAATGTTGAGCGCGGCATTGAGCTGGGGGTATCCGCCGACCTCGTTGAAGCGGTCTCGCTCGTTGAAGACAGCGAACTGGCGCTCGCAGTACTCGGGCGTGATCTCTGAAGTCTCGGGCACACCCGCCCACTTGGCGCCGGGTACTTCAATGGTTCTTCCGTCCTGAATGAAGACTTGATACATGCGGTCTGGAGAGAAGCGGGTGATGACGGTGAACTTCTTGGTGGTGTCAATGGTCTTTCCGGGGCCGTAGAAGTCAGGGTTGCCCATGCGGTACGGGTTGTAGTCGCAACCGTTGGCATCGCAGCCGCCGCCGTAGCGATCCTCGGAGTAGGTGCCGCCGCAGTTGGAACCCTCGCAGACGTGGTAGTTGTTGTTCTCGCAAGGGTGGGGAGTCAGAGCGTACGCGTAGGCGTTGGATTCCCTGGGTATTGGTCAGGACTTGAGCAACTCTCGAGTGAGAATTGGTTCGAATGTCTTACCAGACATCAATTTCGGCGCAACAGGCGCCCATGTTGCCGACACCGGCACTGCCATCGGTCTCAGAAGGCTCCCAGCCTACGACATTGCCCTATTCGTCGTCACTGTCAGTCGGAGCTTTTTTCCCGTATTGTCAAGCATGGAGGGTTGAGGCCTACCTTGCCGCCAATGAACTTGAGATCGCGAGCACATTGCGCGTCGCAGTAGCCAGTACCGTACTTGGCTCCCGCCTTGTTATTAGGCTCCGAAGACAGACCGCCGTCCTCCTTCATGGCAACGAAGTACAGAGCACTGTTCATGCCACACTCGACACTGGACAGGTCGACGTCGAAAGCGAATTCGTTGTTGAGGAGCTGGAAGGTCTGGTACTTGCTGTCCCCGTTCATGAGGTACATACGAGAGCCGATATTCTTACCGTATTGGTGCTCCTGAACGAACTTTAGAGTCATGACATTGCCACTGGTCGAGACGCCGTAGGTACCGCCGTACTCGGCTCCTTCGACAGCGCAAGTCTGGGCGCAGTTGTCTCCGGTCGTGCACAATCCAGTCCACGAGTTTCCATCGTAACAGTTTTGGTATCCGCTAGATCAGTGTCAGCCAGTGGAGTCGGTCATCATCTGAAGAAAGACAACAATCAGCATCGCCACTTACCCAACGCCATGAACCCAGCGCCAGTTGGCGTCGATGACGACCTCAGCGTTGACGTTCGAGCATGATGAAGAAGTACACCTCTGCCAGCTCAGCTTGGGATGAGTCTCAGGCTGTTCGGTGCCGACCTGCTGAGCCACAGCCATGGCTAGCATGGAAAGTGCTGAAAGAGTGTACTTCATCGTGAAGGAAACTGCAGAGACTGAAGAATCGTCTTGGAAGTTGGAAAGTGAAGGCTGAGCGTAAGTTGTGAGAAGCCTACTTTACATTCCAGTTGAACGCGGATCTCCGCGCCATATTTATGCTCTTATCTTCTTCCAAAGGTATTCGGCCTCTTGATATTGCGGAATGAGGCTCCCCGAGAAGATTCTCTCTAGCGTCCCGGATTCCGGCAACATCGCGTTCAGTTCCGTGATCGAGTCTCTAGCATTTCTCGAAAGTCGACGAAAAGTGTCAAATCGTTACATCGCCATTACCCGCAAGGACAAAGTCTCTTCTCGAACGCGTGCCATGTGACATTAGATCGCATACACCTTGTCGTCCAAGTCTTGGAACGAGTTGACCGGGACGAAATTCCCGTCGGCAGCTAAGCCCCACTTCCAGAGTTGGCAAAAGTTGAGTGTTTGATGCAGGGAAAGAAACCCTTGGGTTGCGGATCTGAAGACTGTCGCACCGAAGCAATCCCCATATCAAAAGACTGCCAAGGTCT